AATAAGGTCTCCCTGGAGCCTTCTCCAGGCTGAAGAGCCCCAACTCTTTCAGCCTCTCCTCATAGGAGAGGTGCTCCAGCCCTCGGATCATCCTCGTGGCTCTCCTCTGGATGCGCTCCAGAAGGTCCATGTCCTTCTTATGTTGGAGGCTTCAGAGCTGGATGCAGTACTTCAGTTGGGGTCTCACGAGAGTGACGCCATATGGTATGAATATCCCTTTGGTCAGTTGGGGTCAGCTGTCCCGCCTGTGTCGCCCCCCAACTCCTTGTGTAACCCCAACCCAGTCACTGGCGGGGTGTTGTGAGGAGCAGAAAAGGCCTTGATTCTATGTGAGCACTGCTCAGCAATAACAAAAACATCTCTTTATCATCAACACCGTTTTCAGCACAAAACCAAAACATAGCTCCATACTAGCTACTATGAAGAAAATTAACTCTATCTCAGCCAAACCCAGCCCACTTACCTTCAGATTTGCCCTTGTTGCCAACTTGAATTACTGTGTGTACATTATTAGCTTCACTTCAAAAGCGGCCCCAGCGACTATAAAAAAAATCTTCATTAAAAAGCTGTATTCACCTGGATTGGAAATAATACTGAGACATATAGTGTTATTAAGCTTTGATATGTGTTTATCAGCACAAGATGAAATGGTTGATGAAAAAATAAATTAGTCTACATTTATTTTCACTGTGCAAAATTTAAGACTGTCGATGGCATGCGTTGTTTGAAAAGCAGGAATTTAACACAGGTATTTCCAGTTCAACCTTAACTATTTATGAAGAGGGAGAATGGAAAATACAATAGACTAAGTTTCAAGTGACCATAGTTGTTCAGACTCTTTTTCTCATTCAGTTGTTTAGATACTTCTGCTTTCCTTATGTACCTCCTCAAGGACAATTGTTTAAACTAATCATGGATTGCAGATTTTTTTTTTTTTCTGGTTTAAATTTAATATTTTCTTCAGATGGTAGTTTCTCTTTGGTTAAATAGCTTCAATTTCTGCTGCAGGTAACAGCCACCACTAATATTTCATCAATCCTTTCTCTGTTGTTTTTCGTTCAGATGGTATTTAACATAGTGGCATACTTATTCCAAGTTGTTATCACATAGTTTAGGTGAGATTCAACTTTGTGTTCAAACCCTTTTAAGTTTACATGTCCACAGTGTAGCTTGTACTCGGTGTTTAAACTTCCATCGTTTTCAGTGGAATTCAACTCGATGTAGTTAATAGAACTAATAATTTTTGTCCTGAATTGGCACTGCCATTGGGTCAGCTGAGTAGATCTGTCAATAAAGAGAGTAGTTTCTTATATTGGGATTTGAAACTGCTGGCTCATATGAAGACACCTACAGAACATATACCTTAATTTAGCTGTGTGAGTCTAGATCTGATTATTACCTTTCACCGTCCTGTGTCTTTGTTTAAAAAAAACCCCAAACATTATTTTTTTTGAAAATGAAATATCATTTTTGTATATTGGTGTAGTAAAATGTCATTCTGAAAGGTTATAAATGATAACATTTTCAAATATGAACTTTTATATAATGAATAGAATGCTAAATCTGTTGTAGGAACTGTGATTTCCTTAAGAAGCTGCAGTCATTAAAGGACTTATTTTATATTTAAAAGCCATATATTTTGCTTCTTCCAGATGGTCCTCGGCCCTCACAGAAAGAAATCATATCACTAAGGGCATTTATGCTGCTGTTTTTGAAACAACTTATATTGAAGGTAAAACAGTGTCTTCCAGACGGAAGACATTGAGTTCTGTTATATACATGTAATAGAATCTCTCATAGTAGTAAATATGTAACACCTGTCCAGTATTGTGTCTTTTCTGGTTAATTTTAATGTTCATGCACATATTTCCAATCAACATAAAGGTAGTAAATCCCTACAATATTTCTTAACCTCACCAAACTATGCCACATATATTTTATTAAATGTACTTGCAGAAATAGTATATGACACTACAGAACCTTTCAGGTATTTGGGATTTTTTTTTTGGTGATAGTAGGTACTTGTTTGATTGATCAAATGAAAAAGGTAATGGCAGTTGTTAAGTTAGTTATCGCTTTATTCTTTTTTTGGTTTTACCACTGGTTGAAATGATCTAGGACTCTAGTCTTTGAGGTATAATCTGCCATTTAAGACTAGACTGAGGAACAGTTTTTTCTGGCCTGGCTTATTTCTCTTTTTTTTTTTTTCTCCTGTTCTGTGTCAGGGATTGGAGGAGTTGCAGTAACAATTTGTAGTATCTGAGTGCCCATGCTATAAAAATCCCTTCTAGCAGGAATAGAGGGCTGACTTCATACTCTGAATAATACCCCTCCTTTGTTGTTTGGGTTTTTTTAGGATCGAGGCGTGAAAGAAGATGAACTGCAGAGCATATTAAATTACTTATTAACAATGCACGAGGTACATTTCTCTAATTACCTATCTTTTACTGTAACCAATTGTACCAGCTCTATGGGAAGCCTGCTGTTGAGGTTAGTTTGTAGAATAACATTGATGCTTGTCATACAGGATGAAAATATTCATGATGTGCTGCAGCTGCTAGTGGCACTAATGTCCGAACATCCAGCATCCATGATCCCTGCCTTTGATCAGAGAAATGGGATACGGTAAGACAGTGAAGTGAGAAAATATCTTAAAAGTAGTTCCAGTATCATCACTCTCCAGATTGCTTCTTTTTCACATAACTATCACACTTGCTGATCTGTCCAACTAGAATTTTATAAACTTAAGGCTATATTTTTTGTCAAAACCAGAGTAGTTTTGATAGCTTGGGGGAAGAAAATTCCTCCAAATTTTAAGGTTATCATTATGATATTTGAAGGGAAATGTACTGTTATACTTGCTTCTCAATCTGAAATATGATATGTAATTAACAAAAAGCCAAGTATCTATCTCAGAATAATTTTGAATATTCTGTCTTCAGATGTTTAACATAATCTGGAGGTAAGAAGAGGAAAACAAGAGAAATCATTCCCTCACCTCCCAAATTCTCTCTGAAAAGATTAAAAAACTACCTGTGGAATTCATATGTTTATCTGTGACAGCAAAATTAATAACTGATAATTCCCAGACAAGCAGTATTTTTGGTTTTTTCTTATGCCTAATTTGGTAATGCAGGTTTTTTCAGAGATTAATGCTTTTCGTGTTAATAATTTTATATTTACTATAGAATTTTGTTTTGTGCTGTTCTGAAAATACTTTGGAAAATGCAAGGGACTTGTAAAATGGGGAAAAAAAACCTCCAACATCTATTACTTGATAAGTTCAAGCCTCCGTTTCGCCAAAATACTAAGATCTTCATACAAATACTTGTACTTAAAACTGTTTGAATGACAATGCTAGTTGAAGGGAAGACTCATTGTACTCACAGTAAGGACTTTGTTTTTTGTTTATAGCTGTCTGTATTCAGACAGAATTCTATTCTGACACCTTTCAAAGAAGGGCAAGACTGATCTAGAGGATTTAATACATCTTTATGTAACGTTTGTGGTACCAGTATTAAACTTGTTTGATGGTGCAGTCTCTGTGTTTAAAAGTCTGTGTTGAAAAAGTGGAGAGAATGCACAGACTTGCAATATTTAAGTGTTCAAAAAAATATGCCTTACATGGAATTAGGGGTTCATCTGCCTAGGTTATCAGAGGACAAAAGCCTCAGAGGTTATTGATAATGGCCTAAGTCATAGAATCATAGAATGGTTTAGGTTGGAAAGGATCTTGAAAATCATTGAGTTCCAACCCCCCTCCCATGGGCAGGGACACCTCCCACTAGACCAGGTTGCCCAAGACCACATCCAGCCTGGCCTTGAACACCTCCAGGGATGGGGCCTCAACAACTTCTCTGGACAACCTGTTCCAGTGCCTTGCCTCAAAGTGAAAAACTTCTTCCTAATGTTTAATCTAAACCTGCCCTCTTCCAGTTTATAGCCATTCCCCCTCATCCTATCACTACATGCCCTAGTAAAAAGTCCTTCCCCAGCTCTCCTGTAGGCCCCCTTTAGGTACTGGAAGGCCGCAGTAAGATCTTCCCGGAGCCTTCTCTTCTCCGGGCTGAAGAGCCCCAACTCTTTCAGCCTCTCCTCATAGGAGAGGTGCTCCAGCCCTCGGATCATCCTCGTGGCTCTCCTCTGGATGCGCTCCAGAAGGTCCATGTCCTTCTTATGTTGGAGGCTCCAGAGCTGGATGCAGTACTCCAGGTGGGCTGTCACGAGAGTGGAGTAGAGGGGCAGAATCACCTCCCTTGACCTGCTGGCCACACTTCTTTTGATGCAGCCCAGGATACGATTGGTCTTCTGGGCTGCGATTGCACATTGCTGGCTCATGCTGAGCTTCTGGTCAATCAGCACGCCCAGATCCTTCTCCTCAGGGCTGCTCTCCAGCCATTGCCCGCCGAGCCTGTATTTGTGCTTGGGATTGCCCTGACCCAGATGTAGGACCTTGCACTTGGCCTTGTTGAACTGCATGAGGTTGGCTTGGGCCCACCTCTCCAGCCTGTCCAGGTCCCTCTGAATGGCATCCCTCCCCTCCAGCGTGTCTACCTCGCCAAACAGCTTGGTATCATCGGCAAACTTGTCCTTTCAAGTCTTTCAAGTCCTTTCAAAAGAGGAAGATTTTGTCTGCTAAAGCACTATTTAGTGGAGAAAGACTGAGAAGAATGTCTAAAAGCTGAAGCTCAGTTAATTCAAATGGGAAACTAAAATATAAATTCGAAAATTTGTTGAAGAACAGTCCAGGAAAAGGGTAGTGCTTTCTGTAACTTAGTGTCTTCAAATCAAGACTGGGTTCCTCTCTGAAAGGACTATAGAATTTGTGCTTAAACCAATCATATTAATTTGATAAGTAATAAATTAAGTTAGTTAAATTTTTAGGCCTTTTTTATCCTGGATTTAAAACCAGAGGGTGTGTTATTTTTTTTCTATTTCAAATTTTGATGCAGTGAGGATGACACTTCATAGGTATAGATGGGATTTTGTGTAACGTATGGCCATATTTTGCTTTTGACAAATGAGATTTCAGTATAAACATGCTGTGATTAAATGCAGTACCCTGTCCTGTGTAGAAAGGATATTGAATAGGGGTTTTAAGAATGAAAGGGGATTTTCAATAGCATCCAGATACTCCAAGAAACTTCAGGATGTGATCTTATGTGCTCCAATCTGCTTCTCTTGTCTTAAGCAAAAACTGCTCAGACTGTCTTTGATTTGATTGTTCCGAGGTACAAGTATGAGAGAAGATTGTCACTTTCTGTTATAAAACATTGAACTGAATCAAAAGGTACCATGTTTCTAACCTAAAGATTTCATAATCAAACTCTTATGCTGTTCTTGGTGCTTTCAGTATATCCTTCCATTTTGTGTAAATTGCTATTTGTATAGTTTTATTTATTAAGAAATATCTCTTTTCAGGGAAATACAATCTATATATGTGATGTTTAGTAATAAACTGAAAAAACTTGTTGAATTGGTTTTTCTTTTTTAGAGTAATTTATAAACTATTGGCTTCCAAAAGTGAGAGTATATGGGTGCAAGCTTTGAAGGTCCTTGGATATTTTCTTAAACACTTGGGTCATAAGTAAGTGTGTTTTTAAAATTGCTATAGTGGTATATTTAAGTTCACAATTTGTCTTGTCTTTTTGTCATGATTACTGTATGTTCTTTGACAGTCTTTAGAAATTACTTAAAATCATTTAGGTTTTCTGATTAATAATTTGCACCTTTATACATTGGGATAAAATTAATTTTCCAGTTAACTTGTTACTACTAGGATGTTTGAAATGATACAGTGATTGTCTGCCAGATATATGATAAGCCGAATTTCAAGTCTTAAAACAATTGAAAAACATCTTCCAAAAATACATTTTATAAATGTATGTTCAGCTAAGGATAATAGGAAACATATGAGTGTCGTCAAAAATTTGTTGCTGGAATTTTCAGTGTCACTGCAATAAAAGTTTCAGGGCAGTACTTTTAAAAATAGCTTTAAAATGATGGGGGAAATGAAATAGAAGAACATGTTGTTCACATGGGAAAGTTTCAGAAGGAAAAGCATACAGACTTAAGTAAATGATCTTAAAAAAAGGAGGCAAGTACATACCTCTGTGCAAGAAATATTCACGTATAACTTGTGACAGCAAGTAATATTCACATTTAGAAAGAACTGGTGTCACGAAATGGACATACCTGGTCTCACCTCCCATATTTAGGTGTTAAGAAAGAATTTAAAAGCATGCATAATCTGCTGCTGTGCACATTTCCCCTTCTACATGTGGTGCTTAACTGTCTGCCAGGGTTAACCCACCACAATATTCCAGTGGGAGACTGTGCAGTATAAAAATTAACCGTGTGCTTCACAAGAGACTTCATCACGTAAAACCTTCTTAGAAGGGAAAGGAGTGAGGAGTCCAGCCAGAGCGCGGTATTGCTGGACATGCTTTTCTCAGTAAGATCAGTAAAGAATGACGGTATAATTGAGAGACAGTTAGATGAGAATATGCTCCCAAATGGGATTTTTCTTTCAGGATCCAGCAAGCCAAATAGCGTTCTGGGAATTAATAAAGCAAATTGATTGTCCACTCAAGAATCTCCAAGGGCTTTTCAAACATTACTTACTAAAAATCATTCACATTGATAGGAGTTGGATTAAGTAAGATACACCAGATGAAGGTTTGACTTGTACAGAAGCCTGATTGTGTCCAAATTAAGTACCTTTGTTTAAAATATTTACTGCTTATCCAATAAATAAAGCAGCAAACTCTGTAAGTGGAACATTAGAGAAAAAGAAAAGTGAGATTTTTCAAAAGCTGAAATTTAATTTCCCGGTCCTTAGCATCTACTTGTAATTATGGATGTATCAGTGTAGTTTCCATTGTTGAGTGGAAGTAAGTACTTAGCACAAAATTAAATAACTTTATTTTTCATGTAATTGAAGTCATTGAAATCCCCTTGAACATTCTGTGTAACTTTCAAAGTTTTTTTTTAAATTTTTAGACCTCTGAACTTCTGCAAGTGTTCATATTTTATGTAGGTCACAGCAAGTATAAATGCCCCCCTCATTTTCATATCTTACAGCTCGTGCTTGTGAGGTATGCCTATTTGTGCACATACTTATGTGTGCATATGCATGATTTTATAAAATTGTAGTCAACTACAGGAAATTCTAAGCTATTATAAAATTATAAACTACATAAAATTATCAAGCACTTGCATTTCTGTTTCATGGTACAGGAAACAGGCGTTATTTTAATACACTAAAGCGGAATTGCATAGAGATATTATAATGGGATTTATGAAATCCGAACCAATACAATATTAGTAACAAATGCATAGGTACAAAACCAGTTACCATTGCTGTAGTTCATATATATTCATCGCAGATTAAGCTATAGAGTGGAGGTAATTGATTCTTAGAAGAAATGATCAGTAATGTGTTAGATGAGAGCCTGAATAACTAACTTGATTTTTCTTGGTGATCTGTGATGATAGATTATTACCTTGTCTAACCTTAAGAGTTCAGTTGGCAGAATGCTTTTCCTTCTCTGCCATCTTTGATTCTCTCTACATCACCAGTGAAATAAGTCCATTATTTGCTTTTGATTTTTATCTCCACATTTAAACCCTCCAGTGAGTTTTCACTTCCATGTGCTACATCAGAGCTCACAAGGTTGAATATCAGTAGTTTTTCTCATAAGTAACTCATGAACTCTCTTCAGTGCACAGACGAGTACACACTGTTATAAGCTGTTGCCACTCTCTTTTGTGGTTATTTGAAAATTATAATATAATGTATTAATTTCAAAAGTTCTAGAATGAATCTGTGTAATTTAAACCTGTGTTATTAGCATTAGTATCATGAAAAGGGAGTTTCTTAGCTTTTGAATGCATAAAATTTTACAAAAAAAATCACTGTATTTTATCTTATTTTTTTCTGCGGCTTTAATTACATTATTAATTATTTTCAATAATGTTTTTATTTCATATTCATTACAGTAGTAGATAAATTTAATGATTCAATTTATGGGGAATATTCTGTTTATTTATGATGTTATATCCAGTTTTAAAAGAGTAATGTTTTGGGACAGATGCAATTTACTGACGTGAGCTGCTTTCTTCTCCTCTTAAGATTTGAGTAGTTTTGATCCTAGCTATAAAATTCACTTCAATCACTTGGAATTACATAACTTTTCAGGATTTATTTCCTTGCATCGTAGCACATGTTATTCCAGGCTTTAATTATTTTGGCTGCATGAGAGAATGCTATAGAATGTGAGTGGCAGCACTGATAAATCTGTATATGTTAGTATTTGTGTTGGAAGATCTGAGATTGGATTGCCCTCAGTCCTTGAGAGAGAAACAAAGATAAGTTCTGCAGTGATCACATTTTAGCCAGCATGTGAACGTCGTGAACTCTCTCAGCCTGAGTAAGACAGAAAGGGATTCTTTTGGCTTTTTCCACTATGAAAATCATGGGGGGTGAGAATGATGTGTCATTTGTTTCATGCCAAAGCCCATCCCAAATCCAGCATTGCTTTCTGAGAACCTGTGTGTATTACTACAATTATGTTCATATTGGGAAAGATCTTAAATGCTGTTTAATTAATAATATTTATAGAATAACAAGTTTTAGAACTTTTTAGTACAACATCAAAATGTTTGGCTTCTGTTTTTTTTCTGCATTTACTTAAAATGTTTAACATGCTTGGCATTTTCTTAGTATTTTTATTTTCTCTTCCAGGCGAAAGGTTGAAATCATGCATACTCACAGTCTTTTCACTCTTCTTGGAGAAAGGTTGATGCTGCATACAAATACGGTGACCGTTACAACATATAACACCCTTTATGAGGTACAAATTACTAAACATAGAGATTGTCATCTCTGTTGTAAAAATTATGACAATTGTGTTTTGTCTCTGTGCTTTACAATATCCTGATTCTCAAGACTTCTGAGAAAATTTTAGGTAGAAATTTTAGGAAAGAATTTCTTGGTTCGGAATGTATTTTTCCATGCTTTGGGTATTTTTATTAACAATGTCATAATCTTTACATAATCTCTATAAAACTTTCCACTTACAAAGGGTGATGGAAAAGATCATGCTATGTAAGATGTTCATCACTTTATCCAAAAAAAAAAAAGTTACATCAGACCTGCAATTGCTTTTACTCCTCCATTGCAATGGAAACTGCTGGAGCCAGAAAGATGCCTTTTTTTTTTTTCATTTTCTTTTTTTGTACCATTCCTGTGAAGTTTACAAGATTTTGAAAAGTGCTGTTTTTCTTTTTTAACTAGCAATGCTGATACTATGCCAAAATGATAACTGAACACAGCCTCTTTTATAGAGCAGATACTGCTTGAGGCGAATATGACCTCGAAGCATTCAACTGTTCTATCAGTCTCTTGAAGAAACTTCAGTTGTGATGATGAGCAATTTTGTTAAAGCAAAATATTGTTAACATCAACTTGTCCTAAACCCATGTCCTAATGCCTGCAAGTGCATAACGATCATGCCCAATCTTTAATTATTTTTAAAATGGTAACTTAGAATTGAATCTTTTGCAATATCTGAGGATTTTATGCACTAGAAAGCTATTTTTTTAAAATTGTCTTATAATTTCTTCTCAGTCACAAATAGATGTTGCGGCTAGATGCTGAGGACTGATTCCAGAAAAGACATGGAAGGCTAAAGGAGCCCTTGATATTTAGTGTTCTGAGTCTGAGTGATGCAGAAAATGTTCTCCTATGATTGTAGAAGCCTAAGTGTCATCTATTTGCCAATGACTTACTCAGATGTTAAGTTCTTTTTCATTGCACGTCTCTAAGCTTACCCTGTGTGGTTTGACCGCTTGGGTCTCACAGACTAGATGTCGCTGCATTCCGATTTCTGAGAGCTTCTGTGATTGATATTCTCAGAAAATACATAACACAGTGACAGAATTAAAATCCTCATGGAGTCCAACCTCCACAGACACTTACATTTGAAAAAATAGCCAGAAGAAGAGAAAAAGGAGTTAAGTGTCAGAAGTACAAAAGATTTGCCAAAGAATGGATGCAGTTATTTTCCATGTTCTCTCATAAAAAGCAAGGCATATTTGCATTCTATTTTAAATACCGATATGTAAAGACCCATTCAAAGATACTGTGTTTACAACTGATGTTAGTTTGATTATTGATTAGTGAATGAGCTAATTTTCTGCTTTAAAATAAATAACATACTAGTGAAATGAGTCTATTTTGAAATAGATTTGCTTGAATATACTTATTGAGAGTCCCGTGTTAATATCATTAAATCTTTAGCTTGTTCTTAAAAATAAAGTTAATACATAGAAGCTATCACAGTGTGAAAGGACTGTGGTGTTGTCTCAATTAGTTTATCAGGTACAATTCATGAAACAGGAGAATGATATGTCTTGCTCATTATCTGAAGTCCCAGGATTATTCCCATGGAATGCTGTCTGTGACCGTTCCTCTTTCCTAGATGAAGAAAACCAAACCCATTTTTAAGAAATACTGGGTTTGGTTATGGATGGAATGTATGAGAATAACTTTTGAAAGAATTTTTGATCTGTGAATGTGTAACACTATGAGGAATATGAATGAAGTATCTTTAAAACTCCATTATTGTCTATTTAGTCAGCTAACTAAAAAGTTAGTTAACAGCCATGAAAATCTTGATACTTGCATAGAGGAATTTCTCGTTTCCATTCTTCAAGTATAAAATTTTTTTATGAAAATGTTTTATATGAACTTACAGTGTGGCCATGGCAATGCTCTTAAGAAATTTAAAAATAAACAAATAAATGCTGTAGCTTTTAATTAAAAATGGTAAAAGGACCTTAATATTCTATTTTAGATTTTGACAGAACAAGTATGCACTCAAGTTGTTCATAAACCACATCCAGAGCCAGACTCTACAGTGAAAATTCAGAATCCAAGTAAGGACAATATATTATGTTTGTATGATAAATGTATTGCCTAGAAGTTGTGGGGGGTTTTGAAAGAATATGGTTCAGGAAGTGAGCATAATTCATTAGTGTATCTCAAATACATATGGGTTTCAGTTTCTACTTAAATGAGTTGCTCTCAGCAAATTTTTTTTTGTTTTTATGTGTTGTTAAAATGTGTTACGTAACTAATTTATTCTTTCAAAGTGATTCTTAAGGTGGTAGCAACGCTGTTAAAAAACTCCACACCAAGTGCAGAGCTGATGGAAGTTCGACGTTTGTTCTTATCTGATATGATAAAACTCTTTAGTAATAGCCGTGAAAACAGAAGGTATGTCACTACCAATAGTATTTTCTCATCCTTTACTTGTGGGTAATAACAATCTGTTGTACTCTGTGTAGAGTTTTATACTGTATACTAAATGGAATATAAAAAAATAAATGGGATAGGTTTGTGGTAACTTTTCGTAGTTCAGCAACTAATATTGGGTTCTTCTGTTTAGAATATACTTTAAATTTTCATTGATCCTGAAGTATTTTTAAGTTTCTTCCTACCATTCAGAGGAGATGTACCATATTATTTTCCTCCTATTTTAACCACCATAATGTTAAAATAAAGAAGCTTTTTTTGGATATATTTTGACCTAATTATTTCACTTTAGATGTTTACTTCAGTGTTCAGTGTGGCAGGACTGGATGTTTTCTCTGGGATACATTAACCCTAAGAACTCTGAAGAGCAGAAGATCACAGAGATGGTTTACAACATTTTCCGTATTCTCTTGTATCATGCAATAAAATATGAATGGGGAGGCTGGAGAGTGTGGGTGGATACTCTTTCTATAGCTCATTCCAAGGTAAGAAATGTCTCGTGGATGTTTTTTTAATACTGGTAACTCCCCCAAAGGGACTAGCAATAGAGTAAGATAAGATGTAAAGTGATTTAGTGCCATCTGGTGGCTGTCTTCATACATGTCAAGGTGGCATTTTTCTGTCATCGTTGTAGGTCATTTGCTGTGAAACAACTTGTAAGCTGTATGTAATATGTTGTTATGATTCTGTTAGTTTTTGTCCAAGTTCATGTAATGTGTATTCAAATAATCTATTCTTTTCTTTTTAAGGTCACATATGAGGCTCACAAAGAGTATCTAGCAAAAATGTACGAAGAGTACCAAAGGCAAGAGGAAGAAAACATAAAAAAGGGGAAGAAGGGGAACGTGAGCACTATCTCAGGTCTTTCCTCCCAGACAACAGGAGCAAAAGGTGGAATGGAAATTCGAGAGATAGAAGACCTTTCACAAAGCCAAAGTCCAGAAAGTGAAACGGATTACCCTGTCAGTACGGATACAAGGGACTTGCTCATGGCTACAAAGGTGTCGGATGATGTGCTTGGAAGTGCTGAGAGACCAGGAGGAGGAGTGCATGTGGAAGTTCATGACCTTTTAGTCGATATAAAAGCTGAAAAGGTAGAAGCTACTGAAGTAAAACTTGATGATATGGATTTATCACCAGAGACATTGGTAACTGGAGAAAACGGTGCACTTGTAGAAGTCGAATCTCTTCTAGATAACGTATATAGTGCTGCTGTTGAGAAGTTGCAAAACAATGTTCATGGAAGTGTGGGTATTATTAAGAAGAATGAGGAAAAAGATAATGGTCCATTAATAACTCTGGCTGATGAGAAAGATGAACCTTCTACTAACAGTACCTCATTTCTTTTTGATAAAATACCTAGTCAAGAGGAGAAACTTCTGCCTGAACTTTCAAGTAATCACATTTCTATTCCAAATGTGCAAGAGACACAGATGCATCTTGGTGTAAATGATGATTTGGGATTGCTTGCACATATGACGGGTAGTGTAGATATAACGTGTGCTTCAAGTATAATAGAGGACAAGGAGTTCAAGATTCACACAACTTCAGATGGAATGAGTAGCATTTCCGAGAGGGAGTTGGCTTCATCATCTAAAGGGTTAGAATATGCTGAAATGACTGCCACAACTCTTGAGACAGAGTCTTCTGGTAGCAAAACCGTACCTAGTGTTGATGCAGGAAGTATAATATCAGATACAGAAAGATCTGATGATGGTAAGGAAGCAGGAAAGGAGATACGGAAGATCCAGACAACCACCACAACCCAGGTAAGTTTCAAGTACTGTAGCCTTGTATGTGTCTAATGTGATTTCTATACATTGCTGCTGGATAAATTAATAATATGAGATCTGAGAGATGTTTGAAGTATATTTCTTTAATTATATGAAAGGTTTCCATCATCCAAGCCTATATGCTTTGAAAATGCCATAACATGTAAGGATTGTGAAGTCTTTCATGTCTGTATAGAAAATAAATATGTGGATGCTTTAGTTCAAAAAATGTTGCTATAAGAGTCTCATCCATTTTCCTTAGCTCTTGTGGAGAGATTAACTGATACTATTAGAATTCTGCTTTAGACTTTCTTGTTTGTATGTCTTAAGATTAGAAAATCTATCTTTTACTGTACAATACATGCTGAAATATTCTTTACTCTTGCTGTACCTTTCTCAAAGTGTAGTCTTACAGCATTTTAGTTCACTGTCTTTCTTCCCATACAGGAATGCTGGCATAAATAATCTTCATATTTGATCCTAACACAAGAAAATTATAGTTTAGGGATAATAGAAGAAAAACTGCAACTTGATTTCCAGACCGGAGATGATTAATAAAAGAAGAAGTATCTACTTTTTTTCTTGGAGAACCTCTCTTGTCTAGGTCTCCCTCTGAAAAATTCTGAAAAATTAGTGGTTTTGTGAGAGCCATAGCATTCTGAAAATGGGAAGACCAAGGCAGAAGTCTGCTCTTTGAAAGAGTTTGTACTCTGTATACACAGCAAAATATAGAATCACTTTGAACTTTCAAACGACACAATTTATTTCCTCACTGGCATTGTTCAGAGACTGTAGCACATTATCAAAGATTGCTTTTAAGGATGTTAACAGGTGAAAAAATTGAGTACCTTCAATATTTTACTAACTGACTGTATGTCCAGTACGTACACCAGTATTCAGCTTCTAGGATTTAAAAGTCAAGCAGGCTTCCTGAAACTATGGAAGAACAGCCAAACAAAAATTGCAAAAATTGCTCTGCCTGGTACTGTGTAGCGTGTACCAAATTGTCAGAAGAAAAAGTTTCAGAGATACAGTCAAGTACACTCAAAGTACGTGTCATCTGATAAAAGAACACAGAACACCGTACCCACTGTGTTCTTCAAGGAGACAGTACTTTCAGAAAAACTTCAGTGAACGGACATTTTAAGTTATTTAAACAATCTGTGGTTTCCAAAACAGATACTTTCCCTTTAAAAAAAAAAAAAGAAAAAAACCCTGGTACTCAGACCTGGGTTCTGATATACAGAAAGAATACCCTCTTCTAAGTCTCTCTTCTATGGTAAGAATCTCTGTTTTGAAGAGAAAAGTAGATGGAGCTCTTGCATTCCCTAGACAGGTATTACAAGAAAAATTTGGGGTTCTCTTGTATTTTTTCAAAACTACGAAAATCCTCATAACATCAGTGACAGCCTATCAAGCATTGTGTAGGGATCCTTGTATTTAAAAGCATTTGGTTTAATAAAGAACAAGCCCTGAAAGCTCTCAAGAGGAATAATGTATCTGTTACTATCAATTCCCAGACACCTTAAGTCTTAAAATTAAGACTGTTTAATACCATGGAAACTGATAAATGGAAATGAATGGAGGATAGCAAGAAAAAGCAGCAGTCAGTTTTTATTTTGAAATGTGGATTTTTGTCTAAAGAGTAAAATACAAGTGAAATGCTAGTATTCATTTGCTAGGTACATATATGCACCCATAAACACAGTGAATTTGTAAGATAAATCTTTAATGACAATGAATCTGAAAACCTTAGGGATTTTTCTGTTCTTTACCCTCTTTTCTTGGTTAATTTCCCCTATAACAGTTGATTTATAAAAATGTAAATTCCTCAGCCTATAATTGTTTGTTAGGATTAAAATGATACATAAATCTTAATGAACTTTTATCAGGTCATTGTAAGATATGAGAAACAAAATGTTTTCCAAATGTTTTACCCTTAGCTACTCACGAAATTCCTAAGAGATCATTTGGGTTTGAAAATTGTCTACAAACTGTGTACTCTTCTTCAAGTGTTTGACTCTACAAATTATTTAACTCCCTTGCTTCTCCATATACTACTTAAATTACAGTTATTTCTCACTGAAATCATTCAAACTACAATGAATTGATTTAAGTCTGTAGTCGTTAAGACCTCTTTTAAATAATTTTCTTTAAAACAATTATCAACTATGTAACCACCAGAATTGTTATCTTCTAATCTCTTCCTTGGGTGTTTTGAAATACCCTATGAACTGTAAACTGTCCATAGTTTAATCTTTTCTGTTTAAATTAAGTTAACCTTAATTTAAAAAAAAAAAAAAGATGGAAATACATATTAAATAAAATGCAAATCAAGCATTATTGTTTTCATGAGTAAAGTAATGTTAATTTTAACATGTGTACAGTGGAGCTGGGGGTTGGAGTTTTGATTGCAGCACGTGTGGGAACTGCCACGTTAGATTTGATCTCTTTGAGACCACTGAAAACACTGAAAATGACTTAAGGACTGGCCACCTACGTGGAGATAGTTGGGTTTCGTGATGGTTTATGCAAGGCATATCAAAGCCCATTCTTGCAAATGCAGTATTATTGGCTAGATAAAAGCTATGCTATTATGTTACAGTTATACCATTACTGCTGCTGACATGGCAACTACTTGTTGTTGTACCCAAAAGAGAACAAGTGGTATGTGAATGGAGTTGCTAACCTCAAATTCTGTAAAAACAGATCTACAATTAGCTGCCCACCTTATCATAAGAAGTAAGCTGCCTTTTGTTCGAATGGACTGAAACGAAGCAACAAATTGCACAACAAAGTAGAGATGGGAACTCCTGCTTACTTCTAAGAAGAGTTAATGCCTTTAACAATAGTAGATCAAATATGGAAGAATATAAAACTAAGTCTCTTCTGTGAGAGAGGAACTAGGAACGACTGAAGATAGAATTGAAAGTACTATGCAGAAGATTCATGCAAAAAATTAAAATCTTAGATGTCTAAGAAAAAAAGTAAAGAGACATTTAAAGATAATTGTAAGAAAAACATAGGAAATGAAAGCATCAGTAAAAATGTTGATCTCAATAGGTCAAATTGGATGAACAAACCTGCCCTGCTCTCAAAATGCTGGTACAGAAGATCAAAATCCGACTAAAGACCTGAGAAGCTTTCCAGCTCAACTCCAATGCCTTTTCCATTTTTACATTGCTAGCACAAGTATTTTGTAAATGTCTTTTTGCTTTTAAATGTCCAGTATGCTGAGATCAGGAAATGAATATGTGAGCAAAGCAAGCATATTTTCTGTTTTGCCAGTTTGAAGCTAGTATAAAATCACTTTAAAATAATTTCAAGGATCAAAATGTGTATTTCTTCCTTTCAGAGATGTTGCACATTGTAGCTAAGTTTGTTGTGATGAATATTTGCCTCAAATTGAGTCAAAATGTTTGTTCTTTACTACTTTTTGCTTCACGGTATTCTCCATCATATCCTTTTTGTTTACATTTTACTTTTGTCTTTAATCACCAAGTGGAAACAGTAGGTAGTGAAACTCTGTAGGTAGTGAAAGGGAATGAAATTTACATGCACCACCTGATGGGAGAATCTAAAGAATGTCCTGAGGATCCATAGAACTGTTAACCAATTAACAAAGTGTAACAAAATTGGCAAAATGAGATTTGGGAGACTGGACTTGATTCTTTAATGATCCTGCTAAAAAGACTGGATAAATAAATTGGTTTTGGAAAATGAGGAGCTGTCTAAAAGTACATTGATTTGTCGAAGCCATCACTGTCTAGTTTGTCCATGTCTTGAGGTAAATATTCAAAGAAAATTTTGGTATTGGCACAAAAGAATTGTTGTTTCCTGTAAAAAGAATCTTGTCACTGCTGACCTTGTATGCGCTGCATTTGGTCTTTTCTATAATACTGCAAGTGAAGAACCTGAGTGTAAAACATGGGTGAATGGCTGAGAGGAAGGCCAGCCATAGCTTCTCAGTGCTGATTGATTTGAGTTGGAGCAGCTCCTTTACTGAAGGGTACTGCCTGCCTGGAAATATCAATATCTCCTGTTGTTTGTGCTCCAGTTTCGCCCATCCTTTCTCCTGTGATCCGATCAAAAGCACGTTAGAAAAAGTCAACATGATTTTTTAACTTCTTGTTGATGCAGGCAGTACAGGGTCGATCGGTCACCCAGCAAGACCGGGATTTACGTGTTGACTTGGGATTTCGAGGAATGCCAATGACGGAAGAGCAGCGACGACAGTTTAGTCCAGGTCCACGCACAACTATGTTTCGTATTCCAGAGTTTAAATGGTCTCCCATGCACCAGCGGCTCCTGACAGACTTGCTTTTTGCACTAGAAACAGATGTACATGTTTGGAGAAGGTAGGTCGTTGTTTCTTCTTTAACCCCTGTTTTGTGTTTCCATCAATAAGGAAAAATTAGATGTGTTGTAGAGGGGATGTTACTGGGATAGTGGGAAGGAAAAGAGTTGGTGTTAGTTGAAGTGCCCTTCTGTATCTCCTGTCTTCTCTTTTCACCCCTCCCCAGCCTGTAACAGCTCTATTTCACAGGTAACAATTTCTGTTTTCTTGAGAGATTGCGTAACTAACTCATACATACCTAACTAAACTGAGCTGCTCTTTCAGCTTGTGTTCAGTGTTAGAATCTGCTGCTTCTGATTCAGACACAAGGAAGACTTGTGTGTCTGATAACAGCCATTTTTTTTCAGTTGATCAATTAAAAGAGAGCTTCTCTGTCTCCAAACCTTGTAAATAAAAACTCTTTCCTATAGCATTTTCTAATTTTGTTTGTTTGTTTTTGTACACTGTAACAGAGATACTCAAGAACTTACTGTTATCAGAGCCCTTAGGTATCACAGGCGCTATTTAATCTAATTCCCAGGAGAGAATGGAGCAACCTGGTCTAGTGGGAGGTGTCCCTGCCCGTGGCAGAGGGGGTGGAACTAGATGATCTTTAATCCCTTCCAACCCAAACCAGTCTATGATTTTATGGTAGTTCATTTTCAGAAAACTTGAACATAGGTTTATCCAAGGACCAATTTATATTGCATTTAATTCCCAGTTTGGTGAACTGTTCTGTGATAGTCACTAGGAAATAGACAAGTTTAATAATTATTTTTTGGTAAGATGTGTGGGAGGGGGTTTGTACTTTGTATTTAAGTAATTCTTGGAGATTAAAGTTCAGTTTGTGTAATTTTAATTGAAGCCTTTCATTTTTGTTTGCTGGCTGGCAACAATGTTTTTTTGGGAAAAAGAACATACTTATAGACTGATTATTCCTCAAAAAACATGCACAGTGTTTTATATTTTTGGGGAGTGACTGTTTCATGCGACAATTTCTCACCAATTAGGAGCTGCTGAGATTTCAGCTAATCTTATTATCATCTATGGTCTGCAAAGCTATTGCTAATGCTGAATTTAGTATTAATTAATAACCTTAATATTAGATCAAGTATCATCATATTACCAGGTTTCTCCTTTAAAACACTAGCAGGTGTTATCTTTAAGTGTTACCAAGGGTGCTTCAAATGCCACTGGTGCAGTGTGGTAAGCTCTTAATATTAAGTAATAACTTTCACGCTGAAGAAACAACCCCACTGCTTTCAGCAGAACTGCCTGTGAAGTGAAGTACTGGTTGATGGGAATAAAAGCTTAGGAGCCGTTGTTCTCAACCGAGTATCTGAAACTAATCCTGGTGTGAAAATACATAGCAATCAATTTGTTCATTAAACTAGTCCTGTTCGTATTTTTACACAATTTACATGCAAAGGTTTATAGATGATATTTTGCCTTTATGTGAAAGAAACATTCACGGTCTGGTTGCAATGAAGAAATTTATCTAATCTTTTATTTTAACTGTTTGGTTTTAATCCATCCTTTCTTCTCTTCTTGCAGTCACTCCACAAAGTCTGTGATGGACTTTGTCAATAGCAATGAAAATATTATTTTTGTACACAACACAATACACCTCATTTCCCAGATGGTAGACAATATTATTATTGCTTGTGGAGGAATTTTACCATTGCTGTCAGCAGCCACATCGCCAACTGTAAGTACAATATTTCCACCTAGTGGTCATACTAGAAATTGTTTTTACTAATACGAACCACTATTTGCACTTGACTTTTCTGCTTTAGGGACTTCTGTCCCTTCTCTGCTAATTCCTTAAAAAAAAATTATATATATATATATATAAAATCGCAACTGTTAAGTTTTGATATACAGAGTGTTTATAATATTTTGCATTTGAAATGCTAATTTTATTAGAGAAGTAGCACTAAGTAAGAATAATATTTCATAGATATTTCATTTGAAAGAGAAGACCATTAAGATCATGGTTACAAATCATGATGTAACAAAATTACATGCTTTATGATGGCTAGTCATTGATATTCATAAATCTGTTTTGCATGGCCGCCATTTGTTTGCATGCCAAATGACACCAGAAGTCATCCCCTCACTACTCTTGTTTATTTCTTCCCTCAGTGGGTCCTGACCTCTGTTTCCTTTTTTTTAATTTTTTTTTTTAAATCTAGTATTGAAATAGGCTGATACTTTTATCCACTGTGATGTTCTTAGTAAGCTGTAATTTCTTAGGTGATCACAGTATTCAGGCAGGCAGAGTAGCCTAATAGAATCCTTCATGAAAAAGGGAGAAATATTTTGTAAATATTGCATTATTGTCAATAGTAATTGTAGTATTTGAATGTGATGCCTTGTCTGTGCATATATCTGTAACTATTTCTTTCATACTAAATGTTTTATCTTGAACATCCCGTAAGCATCTGCAACAAGTATTGATCTTTGAAAGGGGAGAAAATGAGGCTGAGAAGGGACAAAGAGACTCCTCTGAAGTAATGTAGCTAACAGGCACTGGAGACTACAAATGTAGTTTGGCTGTAAAAGCTCAATTTCTTGTTCTAGCCATTTAGCAATTGAGGTTACTTTATTTTGCCTCTACTATTACTTCTAGTTAGCTAGCAAAAATACCCCAAACCCTGGTTTGCACAATTTTATTCGAAAGGCATGAATGTATAGACTAGCAATTTGCTAAACATTAATATGACTTTCAGTCAGGCAATTAATGGTTAAATGCTGTATCTTTACTATTTTCATTGTGTTAACTGGGAAAATATTTGCTATCACCAAAAGTGCGAGACTCACGGGAAAGACTTCAGTTGTCTGTAGTCACAAGAATGACATCAAGATTGCTGAATAAAAGATTTTGCAAGTGCTTCATTGTAAATATTGACAAGTTTGAGAGAGTGCACACCAAGCCATCTTGAGATGCAGGCTGTACTATCAGTCTTTAGATAAAAGGACATTGGGAGGTATCTTTTAAAACAAACCTTTTAGACATCATTTGAAAATGAAGATGTTTTCTTTGCCGTCTTTTATATAAGAATATAAACCAGGCACAGCAGTACTTAGGCTGCAATTTCATTGAATGATCATGGTGTTTTTTAGCTCTTATCCTGGTTTATGACACTGCAGAGCCATTCTATAGAGTAATAATTTTGCAGATCATGATTTCCCTCTATTCTGGATAATAAGTATATATATGTGTATAGATAGATAGCTGATACAGCTATAAAAAATTACACATCAATTTATTAAAATATTGTGTGTTGATACAATAGCAGTGATTTTCATGCATTGATACAGAAGACTACATTTTCAAATTTGTGTCTTATGCATGCATTTCTCCACTACATGGGAACTGTGCATATTACTTAAATGCTCAATTTTGCCATCTGTTTAGTATAATAAAATAAAAATAAATTGTGAAATAAACTAATTCACTAAAAGATCAGTGGCTTCAAGCTGAATTAATCCTACTCTATGAAGTTTTTAAAAAGTGATTACTTTTGTCCCAGATGTACAGAGAGGGTAGGGAGAAGTAATTGATAAAATCACAAATTAACTTCACCTGGAAATAACCGTGACTGTCTAGATGATGGTTTCATAGTCATTTCCACCTAGCAGAGAGTTTCTTCCCTCCCATTTAACTGCATTCCTGTTCGGCCATTGTCTGTCCATAAACATTAGCAGGATTTATTCATCATTGTGACAGATACAAAGACCCCAGCACACCCTTCTTCCTTGTTAGAGAAGGTGTTATCTCTCAATATTGTTCTGGATCACAGTTATGAAGGGACCAGATGCCCTGTTGGGCATCAGACCACTTCTGAATATCCATCATATGATGAATGAAAAGAAGTTTCATACTGATTTTCAGACTTCTAATACTTTTGGATCCTTGAACTGTTGTGGAGAAGGTGGATGGACTGCTGGTTAGGAATATATTTCTTCTTAGTCTTGAAAGGGCAAAGTAGTCCAGTGCTTACAATGAGTTACAAAAGACTCTGGCTCACTCTCCTTCCAAAAGCTGCTAATTGGAAGAGAGAAAAGGTCTCAAGGTCTGAAACTGGAAGATTTATATGATGTCTCTGCTGCATAAAAACACTTATGTCAGGCCTTCTAGTGACACTTTCTGCCAGAGTAACTCTGAAGGGAGGAGAGAGACAATAGGCTTTCTCCCTCACCGGTTCAAAGAATCACAGAATGGTTGAGGCTAAAAAGGCACCTCTGGAGGTCAGCTGGTCCAACTGGTTCAAGCACTTGCCCAGGACTGTGTTCAGATGGCTTTTGAATATCTCTGAGAATGGAGACTCCACCACCTCCCAGGGCAACCTGTGCCAGTGCTCAGGCACCCTCACAGAGAAAAAGTGTTTCTTGATTTTCAGATGGAACCTGCTGTGTTGTAGTTAATTACATTAATGAATGTTTTTTTCCACAAGACATACAGTCCAAATTTTGTGATGCATCTCATGAATCCCTTCCAACCTCAACCATTCTATGATTCTGTGTGATTTTGTGATTCTGTAATTTAAACTGGGCATGGTATTAGAAGTCCAGTCAAGCAGTACTGCACTACTTTTACGAAAGCAAGCCTTCCACATGTTCCATAAGCTACCCTACTGGGTCAGCCTAAGGGCCCGGCTAGTTTAGCATTCTGCCTCCAACGGTGACTGTTCGCAGCTTACATCAAAATACAGAAGTCTGAGCAAACATATTGATTGCTCTAATGATACTTCATTAAGGATTTTAACATTAAGGATTTTAACAGCTAGAGAGGGTGTCCAGGCTGTCATGTTTAATAACTACTGAGGAATTTGTCCTCCTAGACTTTATCTAATCTTTTTTGAAGCTACTTACGCTTTTAGCTTCCATAAAATCCTATGGCATTGAGTCTGACAAAGTAATTATATAACCATTGAAGCACTTCTTGTCTTTGTTTTTTTTAAACCTGCCTAAATGTATAAAGTATGTGCCTTACGGTTTATGGTATGAAAGGAATGGTTAATCATGTCTTTATTCATCTCCATATCATTTATGACTTTGTAGGCTCGAGTCGTATCTCCTGGTGTGCCTGTTGGAATCCATAGAGTCTTCATCTTGTTTAGTCTGTCTTTGGACACCTCTGATCTTACATATCTCTGTTCTGTGGAGCTTTTCTGGGTTCTGAAAACCCTCACATTTTGTAGATCTCGTAGAATACGTGTATTCAGTCTATCAACAAGTATAAGCTCGTTTTACTTCATTTCTTCCTTTTTCACTTTCATGAATGAGGACTCTCAAATATTCCCACTGAAGGCATTCTGGGCCCATATTAAAATTTTAAAGTAGCAGTTCTTACTTATTTCCTCCTAGTGTGTTGTATTTGTGGCATAGGACACATACTTACATCTACTTCTAAAAATTAGTTTACTTTTTGGTCTGGAATAATGAAAAACGAGAGCAAAAAGGCTATAGAACAGACCATAAAGATCATTCCATCCTTTTACTTCGGGATGATAAAACATGATGGAATTCAAGATGAGGTTATGGTAAATTTAGGTATCCACTCTGAAGTATTTACACTTGGACTAGATTTCCATCCAATGGAGATCTACTCAGTAGAAGCAAATGATTCAGCTGTCTGTGATGTAGTGCTGGTCAGCCAGATCCCTGTAGGGTCCCTCAACTGCAATGACTGTTAACCTGGAGCTGAGTCCAGCCTCTTTTTACCAGGTAGCTTTCTTGTTTGCTACCGGAGAAGGTGACAGACAGAAACACAGAGTTCCTTTATCGATCTTGTAGTCCTGTCTATCCATATTTCCTGGATTTCAGTGTGTCAGTCTGAGTTGAAGCAAGGCCTCGTCCTGGGCTGCTCGTTCTTAAACAGTCCTAAATGTCTGTTACAAAACTTTTTTTCCCAACAAGTCTGCTGTAAGAGTTAGTTATAATTACGTGTGTCCCATCGCCTCTCATTTTTTTAAAGGCATTTCAACTATTTCTCATTAGTAGAATAGATGCTGAATGTTGGATGCTTGAATTAATTAAGGCTATATGCAGAAAAGAACCAAGAGATAAATTTAGCAAAATGACTTTCAGAATATTGGAGGAATTGCAGGGTTTTTTTATCTTTTGTGCAACAGATTCTTTCTTGTGTTGCCTCCCATGCTGAAAAGCAGTACTGTCACGGTTTCTTTAAAAAGATGAATGTTTGGGGAACTTCCCATTTCAAAAAGACTTCTTCCTTTGCATAGTTAGGTTTTGGGGTCAAATGGCAATTCTTCTGGGCTGGGTGGAAGATTAATCCATGATCCCTTGTCTGCTGTAGAACAGGCAATCTTAATTATGGAATTTCCTCACTATTGAATGATTGTAATAGAAATCTGCCTTTTGCCTTGCTTTTTTTTTAATCTAGACTAGGATGATCTGAATAGTGTTGTGAACAGGAGCCTTTAAATATGAATAGGAAGAAGAAAAAATGCATTATCTGTGAAAACAAAATACTCACAAACCTGTGACTGACTGAAGAGTGCAGTGAAGACTATGCATTTGTATGGAATACAGGGGAAATTTTACTGTAATTCACAGTAATCTATTCCCACATGTTTTAATATTTCCCTTCGTTTCAATTCTATACCACCTCTGTCTCAGGGTCTGTACAAGGAATTGCTTCAAATGCTGGTGTTTTTAAAGGGTTGTCAATTGTATATATGAAACAATTTGAAATTGAAGCAAATATTGACAAAAAAATCTAACCAGTTTTGTGGTTTTGCAGGAGTGAGTTCCACTGTTGATTATCATGTCTTGGTTATTAAATTGGGGATATTAGATAACTCTGCCAGTATTATAGGGAGGTCATAAAATATAAAATACTGACTTCCTTTTTTTTTTTTCTTTCTGTGGGGGAGGTCTTTGAGACTTTTTTTTTTAATTACAGCTATAAGGAAGGCATTTTTAAGATGGTGTACAAGTGTGAAAGAAGCATATTTGGGGAGCTGTAAGGAAAAAGGTTTGCAGAAAGATGCTCTCTGTTGATAGCCACTGGTTGCCAGATAAAACACTTTGTGTACAAGCTAGGAGTTTGAGGTAATCATTGCTTACTACAAGGATAGCAGCTGTGACAAGGACTTGAGGACATTGAGTGAGGCAAAAGAAATCTGAGGAGTTGACCTGGACAGGCTGGAGAGCTGGGCAGAGAGGAACCTAATGAGGTTCAACATAAGCAAGTTCAAGGTCCTGCACCTGGGGAGGAAGAATGCTAGGCACCAGTATAGGTTAGGGGTGGACCTGCTGGGAAGTAGTTCTGAGGAGAAGAATCTGGGGGTCCTGGTAGATAGTAAATTGTCCATGAGCCAGCAATGTGCCCTTGTCGCCAAAAAGGCCAATGGAATCCTGGGCTGCATAGGGAAGAGTGTGTCTAGTAGGTCGAGGGAGGTCATTCTCCCCCTCTACTCGGCACTGGTGAGGCCACAACTGGAATACTGTGTCCAGTTTTGGGCTCCTCAGTTCAAGAGGGACAGGGAACTGCTGGAGAGAGTCCAGCGAAGGGCAACCAAGATGATTGAGGGATTGGAGCATCTCCCTTATAAGGAAAGGCTGAGAGAGCTGGGACTCTTTAGCCTGGAGAAGAGAAGGCTGAGGGGAGACCTTATTATTGCTTACAAATATCTAAAGGGTGGGTTGAAGGAAGATGGAGCCAGACTCTTTTTGGTGGTTCCCAGTGACAGGACGAGGGGCAATGGGCACAAGCTGGAACATAGGAAGTTCCGTTCCAACACACGGAAAAACTTCCTTACAGTTCAGGTGACAGAGCACTGGCACAGGCTGCCCAGGGAGGTTGTGGAGTCCCCTTCTCTGGAGATTTTCAAAACCCGCCTGGATGCAGTCCTGAGTAATGTGCTCTGGGCAATCCTGCTTTAGCAGGGGAGTTGGACTAGATGATCTCTAGAGGTCCCTTCCAACTCTGAAAATTCTGTGATTCTGTGATTCTGTGAAATGTGTGTGACAATTGAGAGTAAATTTCCAGGCCCGTTGCAATTAGTTTGTTTTTCCACTTACTCTATGAAGCCTGTAATTCTAAATTCTTGCTTGCAGCATTTAAAACATCAGCTCTCAAACTGTAATCTGAGGGCTGCTGGCGTTACATGAATGGCTGTCTACAAAACTCAATTAAACATTTAAAGAGAGCCCTTATTAGGTCTGTGGATGAAAAGGCAAGATGAGATATCTTTCTGTACATCCTGTATATAGTGTTAGCATTATCAAGTTCATGACTCGTGCTGTGTGATCTGTAACAATTCTGAGAATCCACAGTAGCACACTGATGTAAAAATTGTCAGCTAGTAATGGAGAGATAATAGTTGCATCCAGCTGCAAAAGAGGAAGACACATTTAAAAGTTGGTTGAACATGGTATTTTCTGTTCCAAAAGGAAAGCAAGCAGTTTGTTTCAGCTTGTTTTTCTTTCTCTTAGATTAGTTTTTTCCACTATTTAAATGACAAAAATACTGACATAACCTTGAAAATTCATTTTCTTTCTCTTTTGAAAACATAACCAGTGAAAACTTAAGAATTAGTTCCTAGCCCATTGTGATAAGAGAGAAAATACTTCTACCTAAAACTAAACCATAAAATTTTAACACATTTAATTGTGAACATTGGAATTTGAAGACTAATTCAGTGTCAGTGGCTTAGTGAATCTTTACTTTTTTTTTTCTGTGGTTCAAAAGCATTCAAATATCCCGTGTGATATTGGGTTAGGCTGAAGAAATCACACCCAAATGTAATATTGCAATGAGCTATCTTGAGTTGCTTCAAAGGAAGGAGCGTTATGCATGAAGAACCAGTTTGCTTTTTGTGATTTATATTTGTTTTGTCAATAACTACTTTATTACATTTGAGTTGAATGGCTTGTTGTAAAACACTCATTTCTATATAATCAGTGAAAACATTATTTTGGTTTACATTGCTTCATAAAATTGCTCTATGTACTATATAAAAGATGTACATTGGTTTGGAAGAATCAGTGTTTACATGAACGCCATAATAATACAAGATTTACAGTTTTCCTTCTGCATAGCTCTCTCTTAGAATTCTTAATTTTCAAATGTTCATGCTGAGCTCAAATGTTTTGCTGTTTGAATTCTAAATTAAACAAATGTATAATTCCAAGATACTAATTTGTTTCAATTTTACATTGTATTTTTAGTTAACTTAAATAATTTTCTTTTTCTTTTATTGTTGTGATCTGTTGTCTGTTTTGTCTGTTGCATGTCCAGGGTTCTAAGGTTAGTATTACTGCTGTAAGTTTCAGTTTTCTGCATTTTCAAAAATACCTTATTTTTGATCATTTAATATTTTGGCTTTATTATTATTATTATTATTATTATTATTATTATTATTTTGCTGTATCATGTTGTAGGATGTAAATAGGAATGTATTGGGTGTAATCATTAACTTTTTCTAACATGGTTCCCTTGAGTATCTTAATGCATTGCCAGGTATGATGCTTACTGTTAGCTACCAGACTGAACGGATGCAGGTCCGTGAGCTAATTTAAGTTATAAATGTGGTTATCAATAGAGAAATTCCTTAGGCCCTGAACATGTTAATTGTATGGGAGACTTGTTACGGCTGTTAAAATATACCGTGTGGTGATGTAACAGTGATCAGTTCACTTTTTAAAGAGTTTTTGAGGTACACCTATTTAAAATATTGCTAATACCTGAAGGCAGCTTGATCAACAGTGGTGCTTATTTTAAACGTCATTAGAATATCAGTGTGCTGTATTTAACAGGTAGAACGGATGGTAAGTTTTGCTGTAAAAAAACTGTCAGTCTTTTTTTTCTTTTCTTACATCCAGCAGAATTTTAGGGAGATTTGTAAAAAAAGAGATTTTTTTTTTCAATTCAAAGTTTGCAATAATCGTGGCAAAATAGGCTAACATGTTATATAAAAAGAAATTCTAACATAACTTAAAAAGATAAAGCAATAGATACTCTGAGAAGGTTTAAGACTATGATTGATGCAATACAGTTAAAGCTTAAGAAAAAATCAACAGCAGGCAGTCAATTGGCTGCTAGCAAGCCTGATGTTATTTCAAGCATGAGTTCGAAGTTCAAGTTTCTGTAACCACCTATGAGGTTTTTTAGCAGACTGTTATGGCTATAGATTTTTACAAATATATTTTCCCTGGATGAGTGCTTTCAAAAATGATGTTCCAGTCTGTTATAAAAAGACAGCAACTTATTTTTTCAGAAAGTAGGAACACAGCACAGACTATGCGGGGGAGACCTGGCTTAAGAAGATAGGCTGGAAATCCTTCTGAGAGTTGTCGGTTTACCATTTTTCTGGTATTATTGGGCAGATCAGACAGATGACAGCCCTTCCCAAATCACTCATGTAACCAACATGTTACATGCTTAAGAGAAATTAAATGAAGTGGTATCCATCATTGTGGTGACACATGCCACATTATATCCTTCATCTTTCAAAACACTTGTTTCCTTAATACTGTCTGGCACAGTTTGCACTTGTATAATTTTGGATGTAAAATATTCTAAAAAGTGACTCATGAGTGAGGATACTAATTTTTTAGAAGTATGGAGTAAAGGTTTTTTTAGTTTTCTATATGTCTTTTTCTTTGGAAGGAAGTGGCCTTAACAGCACAAAATATATTTTGAAAAAAAAATTTATAGCTACTTCTAGCAAATGAATAAAAATAAACAAAAACAATGAAAATAATACTTTTCAAAGGGACTGAACTCTGTGTTCAGAAAAGCCCTGCTATCTGAAATCTTGATGACAATCAATAAGAATCAGCCATCTATAAACAATTTTAAAAGTAGTCTTTAGTCATATAAATGTGGACTGAGTCAAGTACTAAATCCCATTTTCAATTTTGCCTATCTCCAGAGGTAAAAGTGTTTAAACAGATATTTATTTTTTTTAATTATCCCAGTCTGAGGCTAAACCCGTAAGTCTCTTTCTCTCTCTCCTGCCTCTCCTTGGAGATAGAGGTGGGGGAGAGCATCTGTTGTTCCCCCTGAGTGGCCAATCCGGCCCAAACCGTTCCATTAATTAAAATTACTGTTTCTTCAGTTATCTGCACTCTTAGACACCTGAGTGCATGTGAAAACATGACTCTGAACATCTGTCTTTTTGGAGAAAAACATGACCCCCTTTTAGATTTCAGAAATATTGACCTCATTCAGCATTTTCTGTGAATTCCCATTTAAGAAAGTCCAATACTACGTTAGGAAAGAAGCGGCCGTTCTCTGAGAAATGTGAGCTGCACGCCACAAAACTTTTCACGTTTTTACTTTCCCCCCGTTGCTGTCACAAGGGAGTAAACATACTTTCTTCTGATCTCCAGGAGAATTGGGGTCTGTCAGGTTCCTATGTGGTATAAGCTTTCCCAGAGAGAATCAATCCGTGGAAACAGGGCAGAACTGTCTGTTTTTTCCCACTCCACTCCTCACATTTACTTGTTTATCTAAAGGAATGTAAAAGCTATACAGACAGTAATTACTTTCATCTGTTACCTGTCAGTTTACTTATTCTATGGAAGAATGTAAGAGGACGTTGCACCCTTATATACCGTGCATTGCTTTACCATCTGGCCGCACTTTGTCCTCATGTAATTGCTAATAACTTTCTCATTTATATTAGACTTTTTGTCGTCTATTACAGCATGTAAATGTAAATAGTTTTCTCTTTTCATGCTGTCTTACTTTGAATTTCACTCACAGTTTATGTTAATGGTAATAGTAGAAGATTTTTAAACAACTTCTCAATATATTCGTCATTAAACATAACAATTTAGATTTGTATGTGTATGTGCTGTCTTTATATTTCAGTTGTGTTCAAACTGTTTAATTCAATTATCTCCTTTTAAAGACTGAATTGGAAAATATTGAAGTGACACAAGGAATGTCAGCAGAGACAGCAGTAACTTTTCTCAGCCGTCTGATGGCAATGGTTGATGTGCTGGTATTTGCCAGTTCTCTAAATTTTAGTGAGATTGAAGCTGAAAAAAACATGTCTTCTGGAGGTCTAATGCGACAGTGCCTAAGGCTTGGTAAGTCAGCAGACAGTATGTATTAAATAATTACTTACAGATCAATGAGCTACAGATGGATCAAATAGTGACACATGTAGGAAAGGACCTGTACTGACAATTGTGTGATAAAATAAAAATCCCATTTATTATTGACTCAGTACAGTTTTAAGGTTGATTCACTTTAGACACAAGAATAAGCTAAAATAACATGTCCGAAATAATTCTTTCTTATGTATTTCAAGTTGTATATATTTTGGGGGAGTAAAAATATTAAATATAAGTAAGTAAATGGAGAAAATCTTTTTTTTTTTTTTGTTAAAACTGCTTTGCTACTGCTTTGCATGTTGCAGGTTTCCTTATCCGAGTCTCCATGGATTTCCATGACTACTTATAGGCTGTAGGCTATATAGTATACTTATAGGCTTATAGGCTATTTTTTTTCTATTCTAGCTGTACATAAATACTTTCAGATTTTAAGTGCTGATAACCAATTGATAATGTGTGAGAGCTCCAGTTCAGGGACTAATCATTTTCAGATTTTAATATAATGATATAGCAGTTATGTAAAACTCTTAGTTATTCAACTAAATAATGAAATTAATAAGTCAGCATAATGCTTTCTTTGTACCAACAGAGAGTCTAATGTGAGAACTATGTTGCACTTACTATTTGGACATGGCTATTGACGTATCAAACGGGATGTGCAGACTGCTAATTGATGTTCTGAATATAATCATGAGAAAATATTCTAATTTGTAGAGTTTTCATAACTTCTTTTTAGTTTGTTGTGTGGCTGTGAGAAACTGCTTAGAGTGTCGGCAAAGGCAGAGAGAGCGAGTGAACAAGACGTCATTACTCGGCAGTAAAACTCAAGATGCTCTTCAGGGTGTAACTGCATCAGCAGCAACCAAGGTAACCCAGTCTTCAGTTACCAACAGCAATGACAAGTCTGTACGACTGCTTTATAGGATCAGAAAATGATTGTAACTTCCTTCTCAAATATTTGGCAAAAGCTTAGGTTTTTGCTATTAGCTGGCTTAAAGTAAAAGTATTTGGGGGGCGGTATTTGAATCAAGAAAATGTTAATGAAGTAGTATGACTAAGAGCAATTTTAAACAGCTTTTTCTTTCTTGCTGGGTCTACTTCAAAGAGCAAGTCCCCTTACTCACATCTGCCATAAATACCTGCATAGCTTTTTTAATCTGTCAGGGCATTTGCAGTTTTGATGAAATCCTGCAATCACAGCTTCGTTGATGGAACATCCGAGTCCTGGTAACTTCAACGGACTTTTGCATGCATATTAGACATCAGTATTTTCTGTCTGTTTTTAGGAATTAAATTTGTTCAATATTCAATTACAGCTTAGTTTTCCCTGTTTTGTTAATTCCTTATTCTTCTCTTTTTCTTTTTTCTTTTTTTTTAAACTTGTTTATGGCTTTAAGATTTTGGGAATCCTGAAACTAAAATCTCAAAAGAATTTAGCACAGCCCACAACTAAAATACAACACTTCGTATGATGTAAAGGATTCCTTTTCTTTGCTACTATATTTTCATTACTAAGTTCAGTGCTTTTACTTCTCTAAAGACTTTTTTAGATAGCATTTAAAAACTCAGCTCTTTTCGCAATATTATTTCATTAAACCTCACAGAAACATTACATTTCTCCACATTTACACATTCAGTGCAAATCAAATCAGTATAAGAAGACTTTTAGGTGTTTATGCATCATTCGTAATACATTATCGTTTTTTAAAGGAAGCATTCTACTCTATGCTTTTGTAATGATAGCAGTTATCCTGTAAGTAGCCTGTAATAATTCTCAGTAAAATGAACATAAACTGATTTTTAAAAATATTTCTGCTTATCATTGTTAAATTTAACACTCATATTAGAAATAACTTACTGTACTGCTATGAAACAACTGTAATCTGAAATAACCTTTTGTGTGCAAATTACTATCTTAACTCTGGGGAGAGATACAGTTGTTCAGAGGTTCTGGGAAGTTGTAACAATTTATATCTACATAGTTAGTATTAAAACAATAATTCAAAACATTGCTTTCTTTCTAGAACCCTTGTCTGAGTAGTATATTGGAAGTATATTGGTAGTAAAAAAGCATCTGCAATTGATGCAATATCTAAAAAAGGTGTCGAATTAAGGTTCTAACAGAAATGCTTTGATATTTGGCGGGCAAAAAAAAAATCTCCCTACTTTTTATTTTTAGACTCCCCTTGAAAATGTCCCTGGCAATCTTTCTCCTATAAAAGACCCTGATAGGCTTCTTCAGGATGTTGATATTAATCGTCTACGAGCAGTTGTTTTTCGTGATGTGGTGAGTAATACGTGCTCTAATTCTTTCTTCTGCAAATCATCACTTATATTTTGAAAGAGATTCTGATTGTACCAGAATTAAAAATATCCTTCATGTATTGCACTTCATATATTATCTGCAAGCCATCTGCTCGTGGCTTTGTGACTACCAGCCACTTTCTGCACTTTAAAATCATACTGGTAAACTATTTGAGATTAGTAGCTAACTGTGTTTAACAGTCAGACTAGATCTTATATTAGCCAAATAATCACAGCCAGAATAAATCAGTTATGACCTTTGTTGATTAAAACTGTATTACTAAAGGCGCCGTCTATTTGTCCAATGAGGGTAGGAGGAAAAATTATTATATGTATTACAGAACTGCAGCAAATTGATTTATACAGACAATTTTCGCTTCTGCTAAACGTATATATACATATACTATATATAAATACATATTAAAATGTTTTTCAGATTTGTCCACAACTTTTTTTAGCATAAAACTGCAGCACAATGTGTTTGTTTTTGAAAGAAGTACAATAGTAATTATTATTATGTTTAAAATTCTCCAACCCAAGTTCAAGTGGATTGAAGTGAAGACTGGTGTTAGAAATAGCTTTAAAAAGAAGAAAGTAGAACTTGTCACAAAAAAAATTACCTGTCAGAATGACCTGATCATCTTGAAAGGGCAAGGTTGAATTTGCATGGAGATCTTCTGTCACCTACTCTTTTCTTCGCGAGAGAAGGGAATAGGGGAAATATTGTTTCTGGCATTTCTATGAAAGAACTTAATAAGAGGATCTCTAGTTATTTTAAGACTTGCAAAGACATGCAGCCAGATTACCATCAAAAAACATGGAAAGCAAGCACTGGATTTGTAGTAGAAAATGCATACTCACGGAACTGAGACAACGTGAAACCACTATAGGAGTCAACGGGGGCTGAAGTCTTAATTCTACCATGTTGGGTTTTACACCATAATAGTAATAAAAGACATTTCAGTTGAACTGCAGCAACTTAACTCAGTTGGGATGATATCTAAGCCATAGATGGTAGTTGCCACAGAACAGCAGACAACGTGGGGTGGGAGGACAAGAAGACAGCAAAGTTGTTGTGGTCCTAGCATTTACTTAAATCAGCCTTGGAAAACAGGGATTGCTGCTGACAGTCCTGTCAAAGGAGAAGTCAGAATGTGCAAACTGGAATTTATTACTGGAAGAAAAACAGTGGTCATATCCCTCCTGCTTTTACACATTACAAGAAGCTGTTATGCCTCCTTATGCATCCACTGCTAGCTAGAAAAGCATCAGCGGGCTTAGTTTTCTCTCGCAGCAGCAGTACCCTTTACCTTGTTGTGGCAGGAGCTGTCAGAGTCTTATCCTTGGGGCAGCAAAAGTCAGTTGCCCTTCACAGAATCACAGAATTGTTAGGGTTGGAAGGGACCTCTGGAGATCATCTAGTCCAACCCCCCCACCAGAGCAGGGTCACCTACAACAGGTTGCACAGAACAGCGTCCAGGCGGGTTTTGAATGTCTCCAGAGTGGGAGACTCCACAACCTCTCTGGGCAGCCAGTGCCGGTGCTCTGCCACACTCAAAGTTAAGAAGTTTCCCCTCATGTTAAGATGAGACTTTCTATGTTCAAGTTTGTGCCCATTACCTCTTGTTTTACCTTCTTCCTTGCTGTTGGGCAGCCTTGAAAGCACTCTCAGAGCAGAGTCAGGCCTCTGTTCTGAAAAGCCCATTCACTCCACAGTCCCAGAGATTTGCGTAGTGGCCAAATTACCTGTAAAATTTGGTACTTAATAGATGCTTTGTGCATAGCACTGCACTGAAAAGCCGTTAGATCTTCTACATAATCCATTTGCTACTATATTAACTGCTAGAATGTTTCAGAAAGGTATTGTTTATTAAGCCTTGTGATGATCTTGTGTGAAAATTCTATAGAACTGTTCGATATTTTAGGTCTGTTCCTTTTTCTCCAATGCAGGATGACAGCAAACAGGCTCAGTTCTTAGCTTTGGCAGTAGTCTACTTTATTTCTGTTCTGATGGTCTCCAAATACCGCGATATACTAGAACCACAACGAGAAACTGCAAGGTCTGGGAGTCAGGCAGGTAGAAATATCAGACAAGAAATAAATTCACCTACAAGTACAGGTACGTTTGTTTTCTTCAAATGTTGTTTGGTTATTTCTTTTTTTAGAAAAGTATTTTTACTGAGTAGCTGAAGATCCTAATAGGAAATTACTTGCTACTTTCTTCCTCTATAATCACTCGGTTCTTTAACATATGTTGGCAGACTTCAGTTATTCTGTATGTTTGCTTGTAGGGTGTAACTAATTTTCATTTGCGTATTGAATTTTTATGCCTCTTTTTTCTTTAATTTGAAAATAATTAAAAAGAAACAGGGTGCTTGATGGAGTTAAAGCTGTAAAGTACAAGCTGGTTAATCAGCACAACTTCCTGAATCTGTTATTTGTTAGCAAGAACAGATATCTTTAACTCTATACTATGAAATGGATAAACAGCAAACACAGCTGTTTGCCCATGTGAACTCCTTTTGTTTGAATGAGGAGGTTTTTGCAAGGGTAGTGGTGGAGTACTTTCTTGGAGTCCTGCTGCGTTGGTGCCTGCATTTAAAAGCCTATGGAAACAATATAATAAAAAGGAAGCATTTCTATTGCCTGCTTTGACTGAAGTGTTTGTGATTTTTATTAGTAGTAGTGGTTTTTACTAGCATGTGTTCTTCAGCCTGAGAGGGAGGGAGTCTGTTAGCTGTCAGAACCCATCAGAAATTAGGGATCCACACTCTACCCCGCTTTGTTTGAAATATTTTACACTGTCAGTTCAGTAGGTTTTTTCAAGTCCGATTGGATTGATTATAACTGTACCTTCTGTGTTAAAAGAACTGAAAACAGTAGCTGGATTTGTCCATGAAGCTCTTTACGTATGTTTTTCTTCTTGTATTGATTTTGAATTACTTTCTTCATTTATGGAGTTGCTAATTTTCATTCTTCATAGAATTTATCTTCTAGTTTGTGTCACATTTACTCACTATTTTCTGATTTGTCATGATGTTATAAATTACTACTTAGACATAATTTTTAAAGTCTGTGTGCTTGTAGGCTTTCCATTTTAAATATACTACATGAACATAGTCAATTATGAGAAATCATAATTTTTTTGTGCCTTCCTGGTTATATGTTATGGTTCTGCACTAAGAAGCTGCTAGTTTCAGTGAACTATTTCATCCGTGATTGTCTTGCCTGTGTGCGCGTGTATATATCTATATCTATCTGTGTCTCTTTTTCCCCATGAATGTTGCTCTTGAAGTGCCCAAATAATAGGTATGCTGTTTCCTATCTCTTGATACAGAACTTGTTTTCTTCCTTTAGAAATGCATTTTTTTGTTGATAATACCATATTTGCATGTTTCAATGAGATAGGATATCTGTCATGGATCCACAGTGGACCAGGCCACACATGAATACTAGCTGGCTCACATTTGATTCCATGATTTTCTCCACAGTTGTGGTCATACCATCTATCCCTCACCCAAGTTTGAACCATGGATTCCTTGCCAAGTTAATTCCTGAGCAGAGCTTTACCCACTCATTTTACAAAGGTAATATGAACATCATCTCCTAACCTGTTTGGGTGTTCTTATTTAATGTAATGTAATTCAAGAACTAACTGTGATGTAATTGTTGATAAATAAGTATACGCCTCAGGTTACATGGAGATCAGACCTGATGATACCTTTAAAACTTTTAACTTCCTGCCTACATTTCTCTAGGAAATCTCCTTCCCACTTTTACTACCATTTATTAACTTTACTTATTATGAAATACAATAAAATAAAATAAAAGCAGTCAGGAGGAGGGAGTGGATGAAGACAATTTTAAATGCTTTTGGTTTGTGGTTATTCTGCTACAATATTAGGTCCATAAAAATAAAATCAGGCCTATTTTAAAGATATTGCATACCACATAAAGTATGTAGTACTTTTGTAGTATTCCCTTTCCCCAGATCTTTTCTTGTTCTTTTGCCTTCCTTTCTCGCTTTTTTTCTTGCCCTCTTGATGGTATGTAAACCTCTGATATTGTATGTATTGTGAATTATTTTATGCTTGTTAGTTAATGTGCTGTGCTTTTCTTGAATGAAACTGCTTTTGTGACCAGAGCAACTATTATATGTTTTGGGCCTGATTTGTTTTGTTTGTTTGTTTGTTTTGTTTTAATAGATACTATATAACGTAGGGAATATGTTTTTCAGATGTTATTACTTGAAAAAGAGAGGCTTACCTGAATGTAACTTTAGCCAAGTTTGCATGTACATTTCCCTGTTTATTTGCATGCACTGTGCTGCGAATACAGAAATGTAAAAAAATTAAAAAATTTTGTCTGATGAAAATGTTCTTGGTATAATTTTGAAAAATCTCAATGAATAAAAATATTGATTTATAAAAAGCCTAAGAGATTTAAAATGGCATCCTATTTATAAAGAACAGAAATAGTGTAAATTATGCAACATAAATGAGATTATATTGCTATTTGTGCAAAGCTTGACATTTGATATAATGGGTAGCAAAAGGAGGGGAAAAACAAATAGTTTTTCTTCTTATCCATATATAGTACATGAATAAAATATATATAACAAAAGCAGAAAAAAAGTTTAAGAATAAATGCAGGCAGCTATACAAACGCAACAAAATATTTCGGATAAAGCATTTTTTAAGAATTGTGTCTTCTATACTATTGTCTATAGTACTTGTTTTACCTTGAGTTCAAGCAAAATACAGTTTTGTTTTTAAAATAGTTCAATAGAGCTACAGTAAAAGGGTGAGCAGGATACAAAAGAAAAGTGTTTTGGCTTTAGAAACAAATTATTCAACAAAGGAAATGTTATCTCTAGCTATTTCATTTGTTGATGTCATTACATCCTTCAAGGTTTTAACTCTGTGAGGTCTCAGCCTCTTATACTGAACTGCTTCACCCGTTCGAGAAGAAAAATGATTCTGCTTTTTATATTCTGATTCCCAGTTCCTCAGTTTTTGAACAACATTAGCAGGAAGTGAAATGAAAAAAAAATTGCCAACACTGTCAGAAAAGGCTAAAAGTCAAAACCTATTTTGTCATTGCAAGAATCTTTTGTTCCAGTGGCTAAGCCAATTGCTTTGCTTTTAGTGATCTGACGTTCTTTCGGATGTTGGCAGCAACCATGTGATATTTGAATATTATTTTAAATTTTAAGGTATTTTAACATATGATGGAGTGGTTTAATGTAGCATTTAAAAGCAAAGACATATTTTTAAAGCAAAATCCTATTTATTAAAAAATGGATAAAAAGTCAGTTGTTACATGGAAGTAAAGTTTCTGTATTCTATTCTTTCCACATGACACTAAATGAATGTAAAGGATTTGTTCTTTGTCAGTCCATTTCAATACAAAAATTGCATCATTATTGTTAGAACTGTACATGACTTTTTTGCAAGACATCTCTATGAATTTAGGGAGGTGGACTGTCTGCTTGAAAGAAATCTATTTTTAGTAGATGGAATCTGCTAGTCTGACCAGGTAACTTGTCAGGGGAAGGCTAAGGTAGGAGTAGTTGTATTATTGGTATTTAGGATGCTGATTTTGTTCTTAGTGATGTTCCTTTTTTTTTCTTTATATGGGGCAATATCTTTAGATAAAATATATTTAAGGCTGTGTGAGAACCTACTTGTCTCAGGCACATTAGAGTATGTGGTTGGTGTATGCTTCTTATGAGTAACTATAGCCGGTGTCGAGTGCAGGTTACAAGAATTTTCAACATCATTATACTTGATATGAAATTTTAAAGTTCTCATCATATAAAATGTTGGCCTTCGCCTAGTTTATTGAGGGTCTTATATACAAATAAAATGTAGTGTTGAAATAAAAGACTTTAAAATACGCTTTGCAGGGAAACATATTCTACCTTTACTTGCAAATGTTTGTAGGTGGTAAAATAAGTACGTGGTAAAATAATATTTCTTTTACTGTTAATCAAATATTGTTCACAAGCTGTATGTTATCTCATGGTGCTTAAAGGAGAAAGGACAAACCCAGGAAGCAAAAAAATAAACCAATGGTGTCCATGACTACCATTTAACAATAAATATGTTTATTTCTTTATAATGTTCTATACTTCTACATTTATTTTTCTTTCTAAACTGATCCACGGGGATAAGAAAAATGTGTCTCTACCTGTAGATTTACTCCTTCTCATAAATTTTTCACAAGTCCTTGGGTTTCTCCTATTAGTTCCTGGAAACTTCAAAGGGTCCTGCAGTACTTCTAAAATAGTCTGTGCTTAGACAAAGCAGAACTTGTGAAATGAAAAGAAAGGTCCCTCTCTTTTCAATTTAGGTCATATAAATGACTCTTTGGAGTCATTTATTATCACAGTCTCAAGGAAAATAGGAGATCAGAACTATTCTCTTGCATCTGAAGGATGTCTGAGAAGCACAGTCCTACAAAACTAGATGTTGCCAGACTTACTTCTTTCTGTTCACAGTACAAAAGAATTAGAATGAGTTAGACTTTTGGGATGTCATATGGCTCAGTTTCTCTGCCTTTGTCAAGATTTCAAAATGGAGACTTTTAACCAAGAATTATTTAAATGCAGGAACCTATCAAGTGGTCTAAAAAGTTGCCTGGCCTTACAGACCTTTTGGTTCGTCAGATTTCTTCAACTGACTGTGATGTTCTTCAACATAATTAAAATATGGAGGCGTAGTAAAGATGGGCATAGCATTAAAAATGTTTTTGCTGGAAGGGGAGAGTTGTTTTCACCTGACTAGTCGAAGATGATAGAAACATTCTTTATCATTCTTACTGTCTCTGTCACTGAGGGTATTGCAGTATGACTAAAAACTCTGTACTAGATTTTCAGTTTTTATCTCTAATCATCAGTCATACGAGAGTTGTACTTTCTGGAAAATACCAGTAGTGAATCAACGTCTGAGCTCATCATCCTAGTCTCCCTCTATAATAGGTGGAGAGACATTAGGGCATATTTAGGGTACAATTCACCTGGCCTGCTTTAGAGATCTACTTAAAAGAGAAATAAATTGGGCACTAGAAATCCCTATCTTTTTCCATGCACTATAGATGTCATTGTAGACCTCTGCCTTGGTGAGATTAATCCTGGCTCCTTTGGCTAGGCTTAACTGAACTCCACACACAAAACTTGCTGTATGACAAAAGCTGTCATTAAATTCTTTAATCTCAGGCACTTAATCCAGTCTAATGACATGTGCCTTAGTAATATCCCCATCCCATAGACAGCTACAATTTATTACATATATGTTCACAGATACATACCCTTCTTTATGAGTGCTACACATATATGGTTTGAAAGTAGGAACTAGATATCCATCTAAACAATTCCATAATGCCTTCAATGTAATGACTGGCAGGCGTGTTCCCTCTGTACCTGGCATCTAATTAATCTGAGCAACGCATATCATTGTCCCTCCAATAGCGCCTTATTTCTTCTCTACCTGTCTAACAGTGTGCAATGCAACTAATCTCCACCTTTCTCCATTTTAAGGTATGTTTCAACACTCATTTGTTTCATTGTATGGTTGAGGGAATTTTCAGGTTTGTTCTTTTTTGTCCTAGAAGTATTCCAGTCTCCTTTTTTGCCTGCTGAGTCCTTGAGATCCTTGAAGAAGACTATTCCTTGTGGTCGGATGTACTCACAAACCCCTTTATAAAAGTCTTTGGCTTTCATCTTTAGCTGCATGTTCCCCAAAGATCGTGTGTGAGAAATCCTAGCTGTGTTGTATTTAGTAGAGAAGCAGCACTAAAGCTTCATCTCTGCTCCTGGTGATGAGGAATGATTTCAAGTCCTTTGAAAAGCTTGCTTTCAAATTCAGAAGGATGAAGATAGTCCCACTAAGCAAAGCTACTTCCCATGGAAGGCAAACAATTTTCTGTTTTATTTTGCAGGCAAACACATGACATTAATTTTAACATCAGAGGAGGTTCAGGTCTTTGTAGAAGTGTTATCAAGACTCTTACAAGGCTCTGACTTCATGGCACGTTCTGAAAGTGCACCTGAGCAGTGGAGCTTGCCAGTTCCCACAGCCATTTTAAGATAAAATTGTGTTCGTCAAGACATCATTAGTGGTCTTTACTTTTGGTCAGCAAGAACTACCCTTGTGAACTGAGCATAAAATGCTGAAATCTGTATTTCTGCAATGGCAGCAATTGGAGTAGCTTAGAATAGAATGTTTTGTTCTCAGTTGATTTCTCTGGTAAGGTAGGGATGTTTTCCCAGAATTGCTATAAAAATATCTCTGTTATGTCTGGAAGGTGGGGAAGTTGAGACTGAAAAATTGAGAGCAGCCCTTTCTCTTACCAGGTAGAGGGTAATCAGTACATATTTTGAGAGCAGAAGTATCTGGTCATGGGAATAAGACACAGGAGAAATAGAGGAGCATGGTATCTTCTGTTAATAGAAGCTAAAAAGCCTTATCATGTAAAACCAACTAACCTCTTCAAATTACAGAATTTGAAGTCGTTTTAGCTATGATAGTCAAGATCACTTAAGATGAATTTTCTCAATTGTGGTCATTACTGAAGCTATCCTTGC